TTGGTTTGTGTGGTGAATACTTGACATACATGCTACATATTTTTCATTATTTTTTTGGAAACCTGGAAAATCCCTTTTCATAAATATTGCTCTTTAGCGCCCTTCAAAATTTTTTCCTCTTTTTTTTCATTATTTTTTTATGCCAACTCCAGTGATTTTCGTGACCTCAAAACTTAGCTCAAATTTTTATGTATTTTAGGTTAAAAAGATAAAATTTAAATCAAAGATGACGCTCGATAGATAGTCCACCCGGCCCTTAATGAAAAATCAGAAGAATTTCTTTTTGAAAAAGTGTCGAGCTTTTGAATTGAGGTTTTTCGTGCGTGGAGGTATAATTGAGGAAGAAATATTAAATCTTCGGGTACAATATTGATTAATATTGATCGGAAGTTGTGTATCATTTTTTAGAGAATGAGGAGCCCGATGTGAGACCAGCACCGACACTCGAGGTATCCAATTCCGAGGTGACGGTGAAGGTGGATGAGGCCGCGGGAAAAGCCGTCGACGAGAAGGAAATCTCAACGGTTGGACAGAGCATTGAAGAGCCCGGTAAAGCCCTTCATCAGGGAAATTAAATTTTCCCCATTAAAAAAAATGTATCCGTGACTATTCGAAATACTATACCCCAAAATAATGGAATAAAAATGCTTTTCAAGTGAAAAACAAGTATAATAATTTTTTCAAATCACTTCAGCTATAATCGTGACTCAACGATCACCTAGTTATGGGAGAGGAATGTCCTGGACATCGCCCTCGCCGAAAGAAACAACAGAAATACCGGCGTGGGCCACTAGCACTTGGCCTGACACCAATAAAGTACGATTTGTCATTTTTCAAACTTTATTTGTCACTCTATCTGATTTTTCCTGTTATTGCAATTTTTTTTCAGGACTCGGCGACAGAGTCGTGGTATCCAGCTGCCGGTAGCTTCGGGGGGAATAACATAGACGAGCCAAATCAGCAAGGCCTGAAGAACGGACACAATTGTTTAAGATCTAATATAATTCCATTAGTTATTATCACTATTGCTCTGTATTTTATATGAATGAATTTTCATTCGAAGTAATTGAATTTCCAAGTGAAAACCGTGGGCTGAGCAATATCACTGGAATCTAGAGATAAATTGAATCGTTAATTGGGTTATTTGTTAATTTCATAATGAAGTTGGTGAGGTAATTGGAATAGATATCGATAGTTTATACGATAGCTCGCTGGATCAGCGGATGCGTATTCTAAATTTTAATGTACATTTTCATTTTCAACTTTTAAACATTAATATCGATTACCTGTATATAATAATGTGATACCAAAGAATATTTTGATTTTGTTATCAACCATTTGTTTCTTTTTTCTCAGTATTCGTAGCTAATTGATAATCAGAATTTATGCTGCACTGTAGTACCGAATTTGAATTGTACATTCAATAAAACCTCTAGTCCATTGGCTCGATGTGAATTATTAAATCAATCAACAGCCCTTTATTCCGTTAATTCTCGTTTAATTCATTCAATAATTTAAATATTCAGTTTTTCTATTAGTCCGAGGCCCCTATTCACTTACAGATTCAGGTGTGTATAAAATAATGGGTAGAAATCACGTGTTTGTGGTAAGAGATTGAAGATAAATAATTTTTACACAGGTGTAATTGAAAATCACTGACATTTTTTCATTTTCATTCAATTATTTATCCTCTTCAACCACTACACAGCTGAAACGAAAGAAAAACATAAAGGAAAGTATATTTACGCTATATCACTGACGATTAATTGCAAAAATATGCTCTTCAATGAAGAATTATGTACAGGCTCCTACATATTTTTCTTTATTCACGAGAAAACATTTCTATTGATTCTCCCTCCAGCTATGGATATATTTATACTCATATAATAATTAATCTTGGCTCAACATGAAAGTTAATTGTTTCAAATAAATAATAGGAACGTCCCTAGACCCCGTAATTGTTCCAATGAAATTCTTATCGTCTCTCAGAATAATCCGACTCAAGACTTATCGCACTTGTTACTCTCGGTGAATGTAAAAATATGCTAATGGAAGAAACTTTGTATTTATAATACATTGTTCTATTCAGGTTCGAGATAATCTTCACTTTTTTCTGAATAAATCAACTAAATCGAATAATCTAATTTCCAAACGTTTTCAGCCATTTCGTTCAATTTCCTGTACCAGTTAATTCTGACTTAGTGTAATTATTAATTATAATCGACTCAGAAATTATAAATACAATACATTGTCACATTCAACTGTTGTGCATGCTCGAAGGATATTCGTCATACCCTTGGATTTAACTTATTAATCAAACCTTGTAAGTAGTACTTCGTTAAAAACTAAACTCCGAGTAATAATTACTTAGACCTTCGGTGTAATACATTGTATTGAATTAAGGATATCCAAGTAATTTTTCATTAATCATAAATATCCAGTACAATCGAAAAAATGTTCTATAAATAAATAATTAGAATAGTCCGAGCCTTTCCCGATTAGAATACTTATCAAAAAATTAATTTGGGACGTCAAAGATTGAAGTATCAATTCAAAAATCCTTCAAGGCGTGAAACCCAATAATGAACAATTTTGTAAGAAAGACTCTGACGTTCAAGTACAAATGCAGGGAAGGATTTTAATTATGAAAAGTACTGGGATATCCTCGAGACAAAATAATAAAGCAATGAAATTACGTTGGCTTATCAGGATTGATAATTCTTTCTGTTTGACTAGGATTTCTCCTTAGTGGTGAATTTTCATATATATATTTATATACTCCACTAAATCATTCACCTTTTAATCACTCTTTTACTCGGTACCCATTGAATTTCAATTCTCATGCGACGTTCCTTCAATGGACTAATCTCCTCTTCCAGAAAAAAAAAATAGAAAAAGGTAACAGGATTATGTCGCAACGTGTCATAAACTGTCACATGTAGGTGTGACTTTCTTTTCGTTACTCTTTCTTCATTTAATATATACATATGTATATTTGTGAGCACATCACGTAGACGTGAGTTAAATACATGATATGAAAAGAAAAATTTACAATTTTTTAAATTTTCTCTCGTTAATTTCGAAATCTAGTGCAATTCTGTCTAGAATACTATTAAGTTCTGCGTTTCGTGCGGTGATTTAATGAGCTTACCAGTGACGTGTCCCCGAAAAAATGTCCGATAGGCGTTTGGAAAGGCTTCTCCACCCACGAGACCATGAAAACACTTTTTTTTTCCTCCTCTTATGTACAGAAGTGATAATTTATGCAGCTTCGGTTTTTTGTTGTGTTTTAGTTTTATTCTATTCGTCCCACTCGTCCTCGTCGGTGTCACTGCTCTCTTCCTCGCTATCGCCTGTGTAACCCAGCAATCTTGACCGCTCGGCGAGGGCCCGGGATAAGGCTCCAGCTAGGCCACCCTGGGGGACTGACGGAGCCGCTGGTTTTGGATCATTTGTCACTGGCTTCAGTGCTATTCCCTCGCGAATTTGATTTAGTAAGTCATTACGAGTGTCTGTTATCGGCGGTGGCTTTTTCTCTGTTTGATCCACTTTCTGAAATTCAAAAAGTATCATCCAATTATTAAAAATTACTGTTCAAAAATTACAATTGAATAATTTAAATTATGAATTGAAGTGGAATTAAATATTTAATATACCTTGAGCGTTGTTCCACTCCTGATGGCGTCCATGAGCTTTGGCCTGAGATCTTCAGCATCTCCGTTATTATTTCCACTATTTCCATTTCTAGCTGGTGAATTTGCGTTATTAATCGGACTATCACCACCGCTGAACTCAGGTAATGGCGGTGGTGGAGGGGGTGGAGGTGGTGCTGGAGCTGAAGTACTGGAGGAATTTGAAATACTTGAGAAATTCGAGACGCTGGAGACGTTGGATGTGTTGGAGGTACTTCTGGGTGGTGGCGGTGGGACCGGTGGAGGTGGTGGTAAACCAGGGGAGCCTGAGGGGGGTGGTGGTCTGGATGGTAGACTCCTGTGGGCAGGTGGAGCACTCGGAGGGGGTGGAGGCACGTTCGTTCGCACTGGTGGCAATGGTCGTGTACTTCTTGTTTGATTCTATAAATAAAATCACACGCAGGGGACTGTCAGAGGCTCGTGCACACCGAATTCTTTTATACAATTTTTACACTCAATTCGTTGGCTCAGTTTTCAAGTGACATATTCAATTTTTAATCATTTCATTGAACAATTGATCTGAGAATTAAGTCTAAAAACATCAGAACTCGCATCTATGATTTTTTCGGCGCTCGCTCCAAATTTTATTCAGTATTAATATTATCTCTCAAAATATCCCAAAAATATTTTACCACCCGAGATATTATGATGTCATTATTTTTTGTTGTAATTCTAACTTTCTTCTCAATATCAATTGCTAATTAAGAAAAATGAACATAATAGACTCACATTGTTCAAGCCAGGACTCGTCGTAACCGGTACTGTCCTGGCAGGAATGGGTGGAGGTGGATCACAGCTCGGTGCAGGTGGCAATGCTGGCAATGACTGCGTACTCATGGGTCCAACTTGACGCGTCAATACATCAAGATCATTCTCGACAGCCTTCATTCCCCCGTGCTCATCAAGATAACTATAGATGAAGTCACGAGTCTTTTTGCTTGTCAACTGTTCCCTCGTGATTCCAGCAACATCAAAGAACTGCTTCAATTTTGGATCATTGGGATTCCAGTCCACCCCTTTGTGGGCGTCCCACCCCATATGTGCTAAATGCCTGAAAAAAATATATTCAACATATTTATGACACATATATAAAAACCCGATACAACTACATCAGCCCCTGAGGCTCTAATAAATTATTTCGTTTTTATTATCATATATTTTCGAGACCCAAAAAGAGGCATCACCTGAAGTCCGAGGGTAAACCGATATCAGCAGTTGTGAGTTTCCTCTTGGGATCCTTTTCCCGTCTGTTCTTTTTCTTGTACATCGAACTACCGAGACTCCCATTAATTCCTAACGACGATGGAGAGCCATTCAATGTATTGGCACTTGTATTCGAGAAACCAGTGAAATCAGGAGTACTATTAGGACTTCTCCTTGGGAGTGTCACCACTCTCTGTTGCACCTCTCCATCCAATCTCGCTTTTCTCTCCTGTCGCCTCTGTTTATTCGCGTTCAATCTCTCCAGGAGGACATTCCTACGGACGAACCACAATTAAAAAATCATTTACTTATCAGCTGAGAATTCAATTTTTTAATGTCACCTCGTTGATTACCTCATTATCATTGCTTCAGTTTCATTAGCAAAATTAAAGGCTGCCATACAATCTTCCCCCTCGAATGTATGAAAATACATCAATGGGGTATTGTATGACATCGAATTGTAGAGTTCTTGCTCCCACAACATGGCTTTCCTCTGTAAACAATATAATCTCAGGAAGTAACTGCGCTTTGGGTTGTCCCTTATCAGCGTTATCACACCGGTATTCTTCTTTATCCATTCTCGGTGGGCAGGAGGCTCAGTCAAGTACAACTGTATAACTCCTGCCGCTAGGCACTGCAATCACAACAATTGCACTATTGCAGTCTTGTCCATATCGATTTCTTATCGAGTGTTTGAGGTTTTTCAATTATACAGATGGGGGGCGAGTGATTAGGCTTTGGAGAATGACAACACGAGGGATTTATCTGTGTCCCTGGGGCTCAGGCGTAATAATCAAGTTCTGTTGGTCGTTATCGATGATAAATAAGAAGTTGTTTGGAAAAATATTTGGAGTTCATTCGGCATTCGTTGGGGCGAATTGTCTTTCAAGGAAAACGTTAATTGCGAGATTTTTATTTCTCGAGGAAAGTTTTTTTTTTATTTTCATATTGTATTTCAGATCTTGTCATTTGTTATCTGTTATTAAATAATAAATTCAGTACTGAAGTGGTGAAACGAGATAGTCGAATTTTTATAGTTTTTTTTAAAAACGAGAGAACTCAAAGACTATTCGCTTTAGAGAGAAAAGTCAAGAGAATTTTCTTGTCGGAAATTTAATCAGCTACAAAAAGTGTACAGTCAATTTATCTGTAATATCAATGCCCTAGTGAATTATTTGGTAAATGTCTGGAATTAATGCTGCACTGTCTTACAAGGAAAGATTGTTGATACTTTTGTTTTCTTCATGACTTTTTCCTCGAAACATTATATTGATAAACTAAATTCCAAGAGTCAACGAGTGACACAGAGAAATGTCGAAATAGCACTTTCGCGTAGCTGAATCCCCAGAATATAAATTGCCACCTGAGAAAAATAATTTCCCCTCGAATCGGGGTCACCAAAACTACAATGAATAATTATCACTCCATTGATAAAAAAAAAAATCTAAATTCACACAGTCAGCATCCAAGTGGGAATGTGGGTCAGTGTTGAGTCAACGATGGAAAGATTCTCACGGTTGAGCAAAAAATGAAAAGAAAAAGAGAAAAACCTTCAACCTTATCCCTCACCTGGCAACGATTTCCAATTAACCTGAAAACCTCCTCGTTCTCCTCAGGTTTGAGGATAACACAGCCCCTGTGCTCCCTGGCACTCTTCATTATTTCGTATTAACCTGAAGAGCAGGTTATGTTCATCGGTATTAACCCCCAGCCACTTTGACACAATTTTTTATAAATGACCGATTAAATAAAATGGTTCAATGAACCACCTCTTCGCGCATGTTTTATCATTCACCATTGGCACTTGACAATTCTCATCATCATCATCATTATCTCGTTCTCACACCGATTGTACATCACCATAAAAACAAAATTTATCGAAAAATGAGAAAAAAAAAAGTACGAAAGGCCTGCCGACATTTATCTTTGAACTCTGTGTATGTCAGGAGGGGGGCATTAAAAAATCCACCACCCACGAAGGCAATACGTCTGGCGCACTGGCCACAGGAAACTCAAATGACGGTTGATGACATTCCCGTCCATCCGGTTCGCAATGGACCCGTTCCGTCATTCCCTTCATAACCTAAACCCCTCCCATACCACCCAAATACCCATTAATAATTATTAATTTCACTAAAGGATCAGTCCCTTCGAGGGAAAGTTCAAGACCAACTGCCCCCACAATCACCAAAACCCACGTCCACATCCAATCTATCTATCCAATTAAATGTCAATATCACCCAATTCGTAGTTGTATTTCTTTCCGCTCTTTACTCTCGTTATCACCCCAAATGACTCGTTTTTTATCATTTTTATCTCCTTGAAATGTGAGAGACAATGTCTGAGCACTTGGCGCACCCAATTCCGAGAATTGGCATGTTTCACACGATTTCATGACGTGTTTTTTTATGGAAATTGCATTGGAGAGATTGACGAAACATTTATTTTTACTCTCGACGTGAGTCACCGTTACATCAGCTGAAAGCTATTTATCGATGAATGGAAGACGGGAATGAATTTTTAGAGTAATAAACACCTGGTTATGGCCTCAAGCCCCGAAAAGGGAAGAGAAACAGACACTTCGGTAATAAAATGGTAATTCGATGGTTTAACAATTTTGAATAATTTCGCGGTTGCCCCCGGCGCTGCAGTCGGCCATATTGCCAAAAAAAAAGTTGCAAATGGCGGACGCTGGATAATTCTAGGCTGTAGTTCGCACCTGAGCCCTTGCATTCATGTCAACAAATGTCTCATTATTTTCCCCCCAAATAGCGCAATTACGGTGTTAGTGATTTTGAAAAATGGTGACGAGATAATTGTGTTTCTGTGGGAGAGTGTTTTCAGGGTAGTGTATCAATCATTACACACAGAACTGGTGTATTAATTGCGCGGGAAAAATAAGGGGAGAAATGTCTGGATACCGAAGGGTAAACTATTACGAGCTGTGCAGACTCTGCACAAGCAGCGAAGGAAATAAATTGAATATATTCCGAGAGGAGGGACGTCGCAGACAGCTTCAGAGCAAGATCCAATCGTATCTGCCAGTTCAGGTTAGTTATTTGTTATTTTATGGGGTAAATAGAGGATTTACTGACCTTTGGGGGGTGATCTTGTAGGTCTTGGAGGACGACTCGTTACCAAAGATCGTGTGTCACGAGTGTGTGAGAAAATTGGAGAGTTACATTGAATTTCGGGAGACTGTTGTCAGTGCTGAGGGCATGCTGGAGTCGTACTTCACCTCGTTGAGGTTCTCGGAGGACTTCCTCAAGGAGGGGAAGGTCTACGTGAAGAGCACTGAGAAGGAGAGACCTGCTAGTCCTCAGGATCCACTCAAGATTGATAAGATCGAAGAGGACGATAGTGATCCACTTATTAGCACTGAGCCTCAGGGACAGACGCAGCAGGTTGTTGTAGGGGGATTGAATGCATCGAATATTCAGATTATCAGTGGAGTACAGGCTAGGGTCCAGCAGTACAAATGTGCCATGCAAATGCAGCCTGGTGGTGTAGCAGCAGCTGTGGTCGAGGCGACTGCCGAGACCCATTACACTTATCAACAGCAAACTTCCCAGCAATTGTCCTCGGAGAACTCACCCCAGGCTCGTCTCACCGATGCTCAACCTCAGATCCAAGTGCAGAATCAAATACAGAGTCAGAGTCAAATGACTCTGCAGTCTCAGCGTTCTCAGCAGCTCCCAACCAATACCATAACCCAGATTCAACAACTGCGAGAATTTGAGAAACGCCAGTTGCACCTAGAGAAGGATCAGAGCCAACCTCAGGTGGTTCACACCAACACAGTCCTCTTGAAGGCATCAGAAGTCGAGCCAGAGCCAGAGCAACTGCCCTCGAAGGACACAGAGAATCAAAATCTCGAGTCTCCAGACGCCAGTGTTCAAAATTACACAGCAGTCCAAGCAACTCCTGAAGTCTTCCTCAATCTTAACTTCAAGGACGCCACGATGAACCAGCAGACTCCTAGGGACGATGTCAAGGAATTTAAGGATTTTATAAAGACAGACGATGCTATAACTCGAAATTCAATTGGACAAATATCGGAGTTCCTGCGTATACGTACCTGTCCAGAGACGAATTCTTTGATAACTGTAAATCCTCAGGTGATCTGTCAAACTGGGAGGAACGTGGAGTGTCGTGACTGTGGCAAGAGCTTCGAGTCGATCAACCAGATGAACAGCCACGAGTGCCCCAGCTCCCCCCTTATAAACGAGGTCAATGAGATTGAAACCAAGGAGGAACCATTGACAGCGAATAGCACAACAAATTCGTTCAGCTGCGATGTCTGTGGTAAGCCCTTCAAAAGAAGAGAACACCTATTCCAACACAGAAAATTGCACACTGGAGAGAGGCCATATGTCTGCACAACTTGTGCCAAGGCTTTTAGTAGAAAAGAGCACTTGGTTCGTCACTCCGTCTCTCACACTGGACAGAAAATGCACGAGTGCGAGATGTGTGGCAAGAGTTTCTCGAGAAAGGATAATCTTCACAAGCACAGAAAGACTCACGGTGTCTCTGGACCGTACATCTGCGAGACCTGTGGCAAATCCTTCGTGGTGAAGCATTATTATCTCATGCATCTCACCACTCATGCACCTACCCAGGGGGAGGGAGAGAACTGTCCTGATCCTCTTCCTTACAAGTGCGATCTATGTCACAAGGCTTTTTCGGTTAAGCAATATTTGACGACGCACAAGCTCAGACATCGCTCGAAGAACAGTCAAGGGGCCCAGGGCAATCAAAGCAATCAGAGCAATCAGAGCAGTCAGAGTAGTCAGAGCAGTCAGGCACCTGTCAGCACGACTAATGGAATTGTCACCAGCAGTGTCACTAGCACAACTAGTTTAGGGAATAACAGTGGCCAGGAATCCCAAGTGGTTGAGATGCAGAGTGTTGGAGAGAGGGAGCAGGGGCAGCAGAACTTTGGGAGCAATCAGTATCAAGGGAATGTTCAAGGGTTTCAATGAGATAAGGGTAAGCGTGTCTACTATGTGCTCCTTCCCAATGGCAATAACCACAAGATTGTTGTGGTTTAAGGGAGAAGTTGTAGGCACGCATCTGCTGGACTGCAATTACGAGAGCTCGGGAATTTCCACGAAATTGTTTATCTGGATCTGTCTCGGTTACGAAATATTTTTGAAATGATTGGAGAACATTTTTGGATTCTCCTTGGTGCTCGTAAATGCAGTACAGTATTTTAGTTTTAATCAATCTTCGGCCAACATCACTTCTGTTTTCTTGCGATGAACATATTGACCCCAAATTTTGTACTTTAATAACATGGAGACATACAGATAATCAAAATGTTTTTCGTCACATCGAAAACAATAATGCAAAATAAACCCCTCAGTGCAAAAGTGTTTTACGTGAATTCTTTGCAGTGCGCTTAAGAGACTGACAGACTTTATATAATGGTGTAAATATTTTATCAGATGGATGCTAAAGTATTATAATTGCAGTTGCGGTGGGTAGAGGTATGAAATACAATAGAATCATCTCGTAAGGATGAGCGTAATTAAAATGGTGACAGATGATATTCGTGCAAGATGCAGTGAAATGTACTAGTAGGTTTATCGAGCATTAAAGATTGAACATATGATGGGCGCAGCGTCGCCGTTATCGACTATTTTTTCAGAAAAATCGGTAATTCCACTAGAGTATCTCATAAGTATTCAATTTTATTTAGAAATTTTTGGTTGGGAGATTGTGTAGTGATTTATGTCGTCGTAAAAATTAGAGTCACAGAATTTTCGCTGAATTTATCCGATTTTCTTAGGTATATTTATCATGATTACATGACAAATGATGAGTTTTTAGGCGATTTAACAATGCGAAATTGTGCAATAATTAATCGCTGTGCGATGAATCTAAATTCAACTAATGTTCAGTTATTTTCAATATTTTTCTCTTCTCTTCCTTTGTGATTTTGATAATCAACTGTGGCTCTTCGAACTCAAAAAAAAAATCAATTTTAGAAAAGGGTGTTTTATTGGTAACTAGTTATATGTATGCGGTACATACATGTATATACATGTATATGGACTAGAGTAGATGATTTAAGACCAAAGAATACTATATTGTGTAAAGGAGGACGACGAGAGGGAGATGAGGAGAAAATTTAAACAACTGTATGTGTAATTCTTATCAATTAGGTTGATAGATTATATATTATATATTATCATATAAGTGTGATTGGAGTTATGAGATATTACAATTTCTGAAAGACTTGATTAGAGAATTAGTGAGTGCCATTGACCAAAATTACGACGGAGTAGGCAAATTAAAGTGTACGGATTGAATTGCATTTCAATAATCGCCATGGATAATTTTAACTCATCAGTTTGTGTTTTATTTTGTAACTTGTAATCGAACTTTCGGCTAAATTAGAGGTTTTGCGTCATTATTGAGGGATAGGTAATATGTTTAATCCTTCGACGTCTGAATATCAAATAAAAAGAATCATTGAGAGTGACCGGGAGTTTATTAATTTCAGGAGTTATTCCCCAGGAAAATCGACGGTTTAAACGATTGGTTAAACTTATCTGCTTTTTTAATCCATTTAACGTCTCAATTGATACATGTAAGTCCTGATGAAATTGTAGTCTGGAAGATTCTCGATTCTTCCAAGGGCCGAAATCACTGGACACTGGTCGTAGATATATTTATCAGCTACTTGTCTTAAACCGTCTAATGATACTTCATCGTATCTCGCTAGTCTCTCATTGAACGTCTGATAAGTTCCTCGGTAGTAAATGCACATCGCAATGTCGAGGAATCTATCCTCTGGGGTCTTTACACTCATTAATTCCCTCATTTTGCACTGATTAACTGCTCGAGCCACTTCTTTACTCGTTATCGAGGTGCAGAGGCGCATCCACTCCTTCTGCACCATGAACACCATGTCCTGGAGTAATTTGAATAATTGAGAATTTATTAAATCGAAAGGGAGTATTTTATCTACCTCGAGTTGCATTTTCTCACACACGAAGTAGCAGCCCCAGAGTCCAGTGCAATTCCAACCGATGTTGAAGGATTTGTAGAGATGACACATGTCTGTACCGAAGGCACGTTCAGCCAGATGGGGAGCATTATTTTTGTAACCCCCTGAAAAAATTCCATCAACAACACGTTTTTTATTATTTTTCCAGATGAAACGATAAGTGAGGAAAGGATTGAACTCCAGTGGTAATTTGTTATCACTTCGATTCTGATTATTATGAATTTTTATTTTGGGGGATTGAATGGGAAGATGTTAATAACCATCTGCTAGACTCCACTGTCCAACGAAGTCCTTGGCAACAGTCATGACACAGTGATCACCACAATTTTCTTGTCCTGGACCTTCCACAGCCATTGCTACATACCCCAACTCCTGGTCGTCATCCCTGTACCTCATCTCCGAGCCTGTGTACCTGAAAGCTAGGGATTCAGGATAAATTTCCTGGTAGATTGGCTCGGAGGTCTTGCAGGGATCGTCGTCTTCGAGATATCTTCCTGCGAGGCACTGCAGTTCCTCGAAGGAGGTGCCTCCCGTGCTGATCATCGTGATGTTATGGGGCTGGAAGAGACGAGTTCTGAAGGAATTCACTGTGTCTGCTGTCATATTCCTGTAGTAAAAATAATTATCATTATTCTCTCAAGTTGAAGGAAATTATGACACTCACTCGATGACACAAGTGTCTGGGTAAATACTTCTCCCCAGGTTCGTCCCCTGGTACGCAACACTCGGGAGATAATCCATCGTCCTGCCCTCGAAGTTGCTCTCCATATCGTCCAGCTGTCTGAGGATCACTGCCTTCTCCTTTTCAACATCTTCTTCACAGACGAGTCCATCGAGAATTACCTCTGCCAACAGACCCATCAATTTCTCAAACTCCCAGGAAGGGACTGTCCCGTAGAAGAGGAAAAGATCTCTCGAGGCAGTTGCTGAGAGGTTGGCCCCCATTTTTCCTAGTTCATTTTCAATATCTTCAGGATTCTTACATCTAGTCTTCTGTGGGGAGTAATGAGAGTCAACATCAACTCCTGGGGGTTTTATTATCATTCACTAATCATTTAATTGTTGATTGATTGAAAAAAGGAAAATCAATGACCGCTCACTCGAAAGAGTAGATGCTCTAGGAATAGAGCAGCCCCACGTTCCTCAGGGTATTCATGGATCGCCCCAGCAGGAAGAAAACATCCTACAGCTGTAAAACAAGAGTCTGTCCTGTGTTCACAGATTAATTTCATGTTGTTTTTCAGGTGCATGGACTCCATGACACCTTCAGGAACCTCCAGGTGACTCTTGGCACAGGGGATGGGCCTCGACGACCATTTATGGCTATCAAACTGAACAATCGATTAATAGAAATAATCATCAAGTCAATTGAGATGATTAATCCTTCTTACCTTCGGTAAAGACTTGAAATTAATCTTTGGAAAGGAAAACGCACGGCGTAGGCTCGACATTTTCAGTCAAGTGGTCACGAAACAATTGACGCTCGTTCCTCTGTTCATGTGTTTTTTTATTCTTTTATTAAATATTTCTTCACAAAGCCGTTGTCATCTGTCTCGATTATTAAATCCTAACGCTGCATGAAGTATTTCATACCCAATGGCACCATTCCAATGCAACGATATAAATTCTCACAAAAACATTTTTCTCCTCACACACACCCCATACACATACGACAATTAAACCGATTCCATTATAATATACATTTATTTATTCATCAGTAACTAGTGCAATGGAAAAATTATGATAACTCGTTGGAGTTATCATTCGTTAGTTGGGCATGTCGATTAGTAGATCCAACACGTTTATTTATATACTTTTACTCCAATCAATATATATTCATATTTATAATATATCTCGGGGATTTATCGTCGCGTTAATCGATTAGTTGTCAACCGGAAATGAGGGAAAAGAATATATATTTAAAAAATTATAGAAAAAATTTATCGAGGAATATATTCGGGGAATATTCTATCGATAAAAAATTCAATTCTCTTCTTTCATGGATTCGTAGGGACTGATGGATGAAGTACAGATAATCTTGAGAATGACAGTCTTAGAAATTTCATTATCAAAATGTCGAGTGTCAAGCGCAGTATTTTCCTGATAGTCGATGTGATAAATGAAATAATTGTTATGTACAAGTACAGTAAATACTTTGCATGCTGTTTTTGCATCCATGCAGAGATAAAATTGAACCTGATATATTGAGACGGGACGATTTTAATTCTTTTATCAATATCGTATGATCCCAACAATTGTTGATTCTAGGAGAAAGTATTAAAGACCTTTTTCTGTGGATGTAATGAGCCGTAAAAAGCCCCTTAATGTTTTCTTCTGAGATCATTCACTGTTGGAATGATTGATAGGATTTAGAGGTTTTAAATACTTTGCATGGCAGTCGAACATTGAATTTTGAGTTCAGTTGATGTTCTCAGGGTTCACCCGAAGGAGGAGATGATTGTTACGTCGGGTTTTTGAGTTTTAAATGTAGCTACTGCGTCGGCAGTTACTCCAGTGCCAGTGACGTCGAGGTATTGCAAACTCATAGCATTCGCTGCCAAGTGGACGAGACTGTGATTAGTGACCAGTGGATAATTCTTGACGACTAACGTCTTCAAATGCGGGTTGTTGAGCACTCGGATGTCCGGCTCGACGAGAATCACGTCCCTGATGGAGTTATCGAGGACTCCACGATCGCAGATGTAACTACCAAGGGCGCAGATTGATCCATCGCTGATTCTACAGCGAGAGGGATCATTCCACATGTAGAAATCATCCTCAGGGGCTATGAACTGAACAATGTGATTGTCCTCGTAAGTTCTTCTCGGTAGTTGCCGTGGCCTGTGGGGCCACACCTCGTGCATCTCGTCGAATTCAGGGGAATTTTCTAGATAAATATGTGTCAGGGTTTTCGTACTACTGAAACAGCGGATCTCACTGTCACCAAAACCCGTACATCTCAAGTCTAAAATCTCTAACGCTTTGAATCCAAATCTCGTTGCCAGACTAGCATACGCCACGCACTCCCCCAGTTGTTTGCACGAGTCCATCCTGAGTTCCTTCAATTTGGGAATTTTACTGATAACCAGAAGTGAGTGACCTGTCACCCACTGGCAGTCGGTGAGGATGAGGCACGTGAGATTAGGCATGTGGGTATCGAGTCTGAAGAAATAGGATCTGTTCCTCATCAAGTCGTAAACTTTACTGCTCTTCAGGGAGAGCTTCTCCAGGGTCGAGGGAAAGTCGATGATTCGAATCTCCGTGCTTACTATGGCGTACTCCTCAATTATGAATTCCTTCAGGCCAGTGCAGGTCTTGCAGATTGACGAGATGAAGTCGTTATTCAGTCCTTCCAGCGAACCGTTGTCCCACTCCTCAGTTCTCCCGTTGATAGCTATACTGGTCGTCAGGGGTTGCAGAAATTTCACATAACTCTGCAGGTCTTTTGTGGACATCGGACTCGACCGAAAATCAACGGTTTTCCAGAGGGTTCGGTCCCGACACACACTGTGGAGTCTTTTGCAACACCTGAATCACGAAAAGGTAACAAAGTGATTAATTTAGCTGATATCTCTGAATCCAATGGCGATAGCCATTTTTTCGTGGATATATTTTTTGAAGAGATGGTTTTATAAGAAAAGCTGGTTTTCACGTACAAACTGAATGACATGAGATCCTGGGGAGAGAGATATTTCATGATATTGAGCAAGACATCGTCCGAAAACTCCATAATACTGATGAGCTCCACCTCAGGTTCGCCATTGGCCTCCGAGGAGTCCGAGAGCTTCGGGATTTTAGCATCTCGACTGCTCGAGGGCTCTGGAGACAGGGACTTGCTGCGTTTCACCTTCATCTTCCTTCTGCACCTGGGGAACAGCAAGAATACCACCAAATATTGAAATACGCTAAAACAATACAATTACAATTTGACACTTCTCCGAATTATTGAGCTTATCTCGAAAACCATAGACCTGTCGTGGATACACTACAGAACTTTTTTTTTAACTGATTAAATTTCCGACGAAAAAAGGTTCTTGACATTTCCTGTCAAAATCAACAGCTGCTGAGATATTTAAGGAATTTAAGGCTATTTAAGGAAATGAAAAACCTCGACTTCTATTCTTTTGTACTGAATTACTCTGAACGGTTTTAAAAGGTTTTGAGGAAAGATATTTTACATGATACAGTCTGTTGGACCATGAACTGGCTGTTGAGTGGCTATAATCCTAGCCCAAAGGGCCTCCAAACTCTCCCTCTCAGCCATTATAATAATCAAACCCTCACGAGTATAAAAATTCGATACTATCATGAACAAGGACAAGACACCACTGAACTGAAGGAAAAATTCGTCAGATACTTTTGAAATATCTAATTTTGACTTGCAGATATGCACACTTTATGTTCTGGCAGAAAGCCCAAAACTGTGGGAATATAAGCAATATGACGTTAATCCTCCGTTCTTTGTGCTTCGGTGCTCGTGAATTCCGGATTTATTCATTCAATCACTCGCACTTCATGCAGAGCAATCTCCACTATCACCTCTCATTATCAAACTTATCAAATGCATCAAACTTATCAAACCCCTCGAACTGCCCGAATTTTCTCTAGTTCAAGGAGGTGATTGTCCATTAATTAATTGATGAAATGAACGTTCATTAATCAATGATTTTGCGAGGGTAAATGATAAGCAGCGAATTATTATCGTATGTAAACAATGGAGGGGTGTAATCAAGAGTCAACAAGTATAACCTACAATTAGAACAATTAGTAAGGGATAATGAGTAACGAAGTGTGTGAAAGCTGGTGTTTACCTTCTTTGGAGTTGATTAATCCACGGAGACGATGGACTGGAACTCCTCGGGCCCTGGTTGCCGAATTTGTGGGCCAAGGGGAAAAAATAATTGAACACTCGATAAATATCTTGCATATGACAATTGGAATGAGGTGGAGATGCTTTCGAGAAGTCAATGCGTTTGCGCGTCGATTGGTGCAGAAAAGTGAAAGACGTCTTGTCCTCGATGCATGGGGTCAAGGTTTTTTTCGGTGATTTTGGAATTTTTTTGAAATCGGGATTATCGAGCACTTGGTTGTCGGGTAAGTATGTCAGCCCTTGCACATTTCATAACAAATAGCTTTTCTACAATAACATTGTCAAAATAGCGCCATATTGAGAGGAAGGAACTACGCAGGATTAGATGAGTGGGTTATTTGCCCTGTCGATAAAGTTCGGGGAATTTCTAGCCGGCAGATGGCGGGAAAATTGAATTCCGGGGGATTTTTTGAATTCATTGTTCATTCGATAACTGGTAGCGATTTTTAGAATGGATTTGCGGTGAAAGTCCAGGGGAAATTGTTATTTAAAACATTTGAATCCTCTTATTAGTAAATTTATTTGTCGGTTCAATTATTCGTCAGTCGTCAGTCATTAATCAATTGAATTCATGAATTTCTATGAATTTTGAGTGAAACTAGATAATTGCCATTCGTAACTTTTTAAAATTGATTGATTATCTCGAAAACTATGGGTTTAAATCGGAAATAAGAAAAGACCTTTTTTGTTCAGAATTTAATCGGCCAGAAAAAAGTCTTCTGGTGTGTTCATCTTAAATCGATACTTTTCGCGATAAATAAATAATCAAAAGAAAATTGGTTAATCGAATTCATCCCAATTAAACACTTTGTTGAAAAATGTCAAATTCCATTCTAAAGTAATTAGTTTTTGGATTTAAATGGCATCTAGACTCGGAGAGATGGAATTCTTACTTTATCCCTCAATTATTTCGATCGAGAATGATTCATTATTCATAAATATGTTTACATCATAGAATTAAGCCTCAAGCGTTTCCTCCCTGCAACAACTGCGGTTTAATTTCTGCTTTGCACAGTTTTGATTCTCATGGCCGATCTGATAAAGTCCATTTATCGCACTCCACTTTCCTGTGAAGTTGCGTTTCCGGTTGTAAATAAATAATGAGCGATACGCTGAGAAGCAGTTGAATTCCAAGTTCCATGGGATGCGGGTCATCCAGATATTTATTTAAAAATATTATTAAAATATTTCACTCAATTAAAAATCCTCAATATCGCCTTTGCCATCACCAACCCGATAAATGGAAACAAAATAATTATTCTACGATGTTTTATTTAATTACTAACAATTGAGTAATTGTGGCGCGATTTAAAATGGCAAAAGGCGCGAGATTGCCACCGGAAATAACAGGAAAACAGATTTCGCGTGATGAGAGTAATTTAAATCCTGTCATCGAGAGAGTACTTGATGAAATTGAACTTGAGGAGAAAGAACTGCATGGAATTGATCTGGAAGTTCAGCACATGGACATGACTGATAAGGGAAAACGGACAAGATTGGATTACACTTATTCCGCGAAAAAAACCGTTGCCCAGGGGATGATGGACGTTGCCCTAATTACTGCCAATGCTAATCAATTGAGGTACCTCGTGGAGTACCAGAGGGAAAGCCCCACCTTCTGGTTTATCGTTTTTCTAATCGCCATCAGTCTCTCCCTCCAGGTTAAATCATTAACTAATTTTCATAAAATTGTAATTAGCAATCTGTAATTAAATCTGTAATTAAGTCTGTAATTAAAGTAAAATAAATATTTTTTAGATCGCCGTGGGTGTCAGTTTAATCTTCAAAGGGCGATTCGATATCAAGGGAAAATCCAAATCACCACAGGCCAGGAGAATTAATAATTACGTCGTTGTTGGGGTTTTCTTAATTACAATTATAAATGTCTTCGTCGCTGCATTCAGCATCACAAGTCCACCTGTCGGCGGGGGAAATTCCGTGGTGAATAATGCTCCTGTGTAGAGCTTATCTTGATTATTTGATTACACGAAATATGAATTAAGTGGAGGAGAGATAAAATCTTTCGTGAATTCAGAAATATCGGGAGTTGATCGCTTTATGCCGATTTTAATATTGGAATTGTCCTGTTAAATTTGTTTGTTATATTTTTTAAATAAAACGCTTGAAAATAATTGAAGTGGCTTTTTTTTATTGGGAATAGTTCTTGTTGCGTTGCGAAATGAAAATTTGAGAATCGATTTTAATTATCTTATTTTGGTGTAAAGTATCAATTTATTCGGACCGACCCACTTGGCAAGTATCGCTCGTAATCGGATGCTCTAAATAGTAACGAGATTCAAGGACACGAAGTGTTCTCGATTTAATGTTAAGAAGTTTATTGTAAAATAAAATTATTGCATTATTTCTCCCCAAAAATCTGCATCATTCGCCATTTTACAAGAACTAATCGTTTTTAGAGAAAATATCAAGAGACGTTTTTTGTTAGAATTTTAATTAGCTAGAAAAAAGTATTTTACTATTTTTCTCCCAAATCGATTGGTTTCCATGTAAATCGATAATTAATACAAATCATAAATTCTTCTCTCACTGAATTTCCCTAAATCGATTATCAATTTAATAAATAATATTCTATCAATTTTCAATAAATTAAATCTAAAAAACTAACAAATAATTAACTACTCCAATCACATACCTAATTATAATTATAATTACTATGTGAATTAAACAATTGCTGATTACGAAATTCAATCATTTACTAGAAATTCGTAAAACACAATTTCTTTTTTTGGTTGCAGTAATATAATAACAATATTTGGTATTATAATATAATTATAATTATAATATATTATGACTAATTAGAATCGTATGCAGAATACTTAATTGAGTTGCATTTTTTTGGAATTCGTAGAGATTTTGATAGAAAACAATTTTTACTCATGAGCTTTAGTACGTCGTCGCTCGGACGCGTCTTCCCCACCCCCCCGGTGGGTGGGTGGGTAGGCGGGGGGTGGTAAATCGGGTGGCAAAACATAACGTCGAAGTCTGCGCGGTGTGCATGAAACAAAGGTAAGTGCAGCCGCCATTGCCGTAGCTTACGTCGAAGTGCAATTTTTGTTTTGAGAGGTGTTGCGTCGAATTTTTCATCAACTCAAATCGAAAAAAATTTCAAGTGGTTAAAGATGGCGAAAGGAAAAGGTGAGATTTCGTAAATTATCGGGTTGTCCTTTTAAATTCGAAAATTCAATTTATTTTCTATTTTTATCTGATGCCAAATTCGTGCGATTGCACTTGACATTGAAGGCTATGGACCAGAATTTGTCGTTAGATTATAAAAAATTTACAATTGCTCTGGCATTTTTTTTGCAATTTTTCATGAGATGAATCTCGTTGCATCCGGAGATGCAATCGCGTGCAATTGCATTTGAATTAAATTGAGTAATTGTGTTTAGGTGGCGGTGGGGGCGGGGGCGGTGGGGCAAAAGGCGGTGATGTGAGTTTTTATTATTAAATTGGTTTATATAAATTTGGGTTTAATGATTATTGATAATGTTTCAGAATAAGAAGGGCGGTGGTGCTGCGCCTGCGTCCGGGAAATCAGAGGCCAAGGCCGACGCGAAAGGCGGGAATAAAGGTGGAAAAAAAGGTGGGTAATTATGAAATCCCCGGGGAAATTATTTCCTTCCTATCATTCTCCTTAATCATTTTTTTTCAACGATTTCTTGTATTTTGTTATCTATTATTATTATCAGTGAGATTCGATGACGGTTGGGTCTGCCGAGCTTTTGAGTCCCGGCGAAGATGAGGAATCGATGAACAAGAAGTTATAATAATTAAGTTCAATAACAAAATTGATTTAAAAACAAAAAAAAATATTTTTAAAACCATAATAACCATAATTCAATTGATCGACGAAAAATTCGTCAACGCATTCGCTATTTAAATCGAGAACGAAAAAAATTTGAATTTGAATTATTTTAATTTCTATTTCGTTATTGAATTAATCCACCAGGTAATTACTGGTAATTTATTCAAACTCTTTACGTTGCAGGTGGGAAAAAATGACCTCAGCTGTCCGCTCTCGATTCATCCCCGAAAACTCCCTTGTTAATTTATTGAAAATATTGAGAATGAAATTTTATTGATTTATATTTGAACGCAAATAAAAAAATCTTCATTTTATGAACAGCGCCGTTTAATTGAGCACTCATTACTCTAGTCAATGGTCAATTTTTGTGAGTCGTGGAAAGAGCGGAGGCGATAAATTAAATTGTCAAAATTTTATTTTCCATTTCAATTCTACAAATACATGAATCTCTGGTGCACTTGTTACATTATTTATTCTCTCAAGAGTTTTAATAGTATAAATTGAGCTGAAAATCGCAATCAGTCGATTTTCATCGTAAAAAATTTCACTTACATCCGGGAATTATTACTCTCCCCTCATATCGAATACTGAAATTACCACATTAATCGTAGCTGTGAGTACCAGTAATGAAAGGGCAAAATTGTTCCACAAATTCGCCTTATTTTGGTCTCGCTGTTTGTTTATGTTGAGACTCGAGCCCAGGAAAATAAAAATCATACCCTGGAGTAGCTGATAATTGAAAAGAAAAAAGAAAATAAAAGTAAATGAAAAATAATAAAAATAAATCAAATAAATGATCAATAAAACAACGAAATTGAGTAATTCGCCAATAATAAAAGGACAAAACAAGATAAAACCAAAAAAAAGGAGTGAAAATAAAAAAGATAAATGACACTACGAATTTACTCCGATTGCACCGCAATCCCTCTTCTCACAGCGTAATTAGCCCCAGTAAGTACTTCCCTCGGTTTATTACTGAATTCCATTCCGAAACCCGAGATAACGACGTTCGTTAAACTGATGATAAAAACTCCGATTAGGATGACATCATTGATGATATTAGCGGCCCATTGATCTCTTCTTCGATTGATGTCTAACCCACCGACGGCAATGAATAGTAGACCGACGATTGCCTGCGCATTTCATTGAGTTTTGCGTTTGTCTTTTTAAAAAAACACCGCTGTACCCTCGAATTGATCCAATTGCCAGGCAAGTTCGATAAAAACTCAACAAAATCACTAGAAAATATAATGACAAAAAAAGAAAGTAACGGGGCAAATTGGAATGAACAAATTAATTAAATTTCTCCTCACTGCGAACCGATTTAATTCGATTCCGCAGTAGCATGAGTTTTCGACGAATATCTTTCGATCCGATGAAAATACAGAGATTTTTGTAATAACATTTTTTGTAGAGCTGATCGAGAGCTACAGAAAAGGTAATCATGAAAATTTCGGTATGTGCCGTGGATTTCGAGGTATTCATGGAAATCTGATTGAGTGGAAATGGACTTGAGTCTGCGCGAACTCCTGGGGATTTTAGATCGATTTCCCATCAGTTATGGTTCGTTTATGGATTATTTGAGTAATGCGGTGTCTTCGGGAGGATCGAATGATAATAATGAAGAAAGACCCATCGGATCGAATGCGGCTATCAGAATGTTATCCAAGAAAACAATGAAGCTTAGAGCAACTCTCAACCGGCCGATCCACTCAACTGCGTATCCGTTCCTTGAGTCCTCCATCTGCCGGTCCAACATGAGGTTCAAGGACAGGGACAACAAGCCCGACAGGATCTGCATGTGAGAGATTTTTTTTTTTCGGAAATCTGTCACACTTCCGAGGCAATTGGACCAATTTGGAAGCTATGCATTGCGCGCGTGCTAATTACATCAATTCTCGTGCTCTTCGTGATTCAAATAATTGTTCTTAATTGCTACGTGAATCTAACAAATTTTTTAGAATTGTAAATCAAACAAGTGATTAAACACGTAATGAGTGATTGAACAATTCTCTGAAGGTGGGGAAACAAACATAAATAAAAATAAAATAAATGAGTGATTTAATTGATATTGATTCAATAATTAAAAAATCGACTCATGTGAAGAATTGACTTGTGAATAATTGAGGATCAATGAAACAAGTTAATTCCCGTATAATGCAGTTCGATTTTTTAATGCAAGTGATTGGTTTGTCGATTTTTTATTTAATTACCTGAAGTCCTATTGACACACATATGAGGGTGAGCATCAGAGTGTAGAACTCGTGCTGCTTGCCAACCTGGAATCGAATAATCTTTGGTAATTCTGAAAGAAATATTAATTAATGGAACTCACCTGCAGTATGTACTTCAATTGCGATGCATTAGCTGTGAGCAGAGCAATGTCCAGCATCCCCTGGGCAATAGTCTTCTTCGTGGCATATCTGTTGGCATCCAAGGACTTCACCTAAACAAACAAAACAATTTCATCATTACGCATAATTCGCGCAAATTCACGTCCCACCAATTACTCATTCTCCTTACTCCTTTCCTGTGACGCACATCACCTTTAATTCAAGTAGAAAAGGCCATTTAAGTCCGACAATGAGCGAAAGAAAAATAACTCGGGTCTCATTACACTCTTTCATTATTTCATTCATCTCGTGTTCTTCGGTACTATCTTTTGTACCGCGGAATGAGGCGATACGAATGTTTAAATGATGAAAGAAAAAATAATTGGACTCACTCCGTTGGTTCCTCCAGACTCAGGATTTGAAATTGTTGGGACAAATTGTGGGACGAGTGATTGATGAAATGACTGGTCCTTCGGTGAATCCCTTGAGAAAATCCACCTGTTCAGGGCAGCGTGCACGCATTTACTGAATGGTAAGGGCTTGAGATCTTGAAATTTCTTGTCGTCCTCGCCCTTATTGTGGCCTCTGCCGAACGGCTGGGGCTTCTCCACTTTATCAGACATTTTGGTTTATCAATTTATCACTTGTGATTGAATAAAACGGAAGGATTTCGCCTGATGTTACGAGAGCTTTATCGACACGTCTCCGATAACACCTGATTAGTCTGAAGAGCTTATCAACCACTCGATATCTGCAGACTTGCACCTGTTGCCAGGTAATGACAACAATCGTTGCACTGCAGGTGCTCGGGGTATGTTTTTTATTTATTTTTTATTGTTATTTGTTTTTAAATGATGGAGTTGTCCTTTCGGAGCAGCGGAAAACCGTGAGACCATTGTTTAGGATTTAATTGTGTGTCTTGATTGGGGAAAATAGTTCAAGGAGTCTTCCATCGAATTTTATCAATGCCAATGCAATTTATTGTCAATGAAAAATTCAATTAATTACCGTTTATTTCGGAAAATAATCTGGGATTTTTTCAATGTCAGGACGATTCTGGTGTTCATTGAATATTCTAGTTGGGGAATTGGGAGTTAGCTGTAATAACGGTGATTGATACTCGAGTATCTTTAGAACTACTTCGGCTTCACAGGAAATTGTTACGGGGTCGTTAAGTACGGAAGGTAATAGTACTTTTAAATAATACTCGGTTGGGTATTAACGGTTTTGGGGTCATTACTTCGGGCATCGATTTGAGTCCTATGACCCTGGCATATGCTGTGACACTTAGTCATACGAATGAATTTGTTATTATTTTTGTTTAACATTTAATCAGATCGAATTAACAGGAATAATAAAAATAGACTGAACGATTATTGAAGGCAAAATTGATTGAATACAATTTATAATAATTTTATTATTATGCTATAATAATATTGATATTAAGACAAAATTACGAGTAAATGATATGATTTTTATTTATAAATAGTATTCTACTTTTAGAGGTGGGGAAATGAACGAATGGCGCAGAGTAATTATGGAATACTAAAAAGTGTTAATTACCGTATTGAGATTTCCGTTTTCCCCCACAATCGGGCCAACAGTGGCCGCCGCCGTGGACATATTCTTCAAGTATCGTAAAATCCTGATGATGAAAAACAGCGTCGTAATGACGCCGTTGACACAAGATTTAAAAAAAAAAACCTCTGGAGGGATTTGACTGCTGGTTCGATTGAGCACTTGTGGAGGCACTTGAATGAAATCACTATCCGAGGTTCACTAGATCGAGACCACGAGTGCAATTCCCTCCCTTTTGCGACGATCACGGGGAAGCGGAAGAAATGATCGATCAACTAAACCTGACACTTTATTGGCTGGCTTCAAAACGGAGAGAATTGATTAGTATCAACCTTCTGCAATGTGCATACCCTGCGCAATTGTTGTGACAGTTTCTCATATCCATGGTAACGAGACCCACCGATTGCATCTGCAGATCTCATTTGCGATCGATCGATTATCTATTTACACTATTTCTAAATGATATTATTATTGATAAATGATATTTAACTGGAAAAAATGTTTACGGATGGATAAATGAGCAGTCGAACTTGACTCATTAAAACTTATTTAATTCGATAAATCTTCCTTTATTACAATAATGCAACATTTTGCAGCTCTTTATTCACACATTACTGTCATTTTATTTCCTCGACGATAATTAGTTGCGTGGAGAACGCTCGTTTTTATATATAAAATTAAAAAAATGGGGTGTACCTAAGGCGCGTGAGTGGATGATTAATTTATAATTTTCTTTCTCTCAAAATCACAGGTACGTTATTTTTCAAAGAACAGCTAAATTATCGACGTATCGAATTCTATGTTTCTATGATTCGAAGTGAACGTGTGAAGTCGATGAATTTTAACAGGTGAACATATAATCCGGTTTTATCGTCTCGTTGTAAATATAATTGTTTAACAAAGCGCTGATGCCAAATGATGTAATTAACAACACAGTTATTATCATTTTTAATGGGACAGAAGAGGTAATAAAATTAATGTTAATAATAGAAACTGTGAGACCAATAGCAACACGAGTCGATAAATCTAGAGGCAAACAGTTTGACTGTACAATTTTTCATGATTAAACAGTGTTTTCTCATCATTTAGTAATAACTATATACTTTTCTTAGCTCACCGGTCTGACCGGATTTTTTTTTTCACGAGTCATTCAACTCCTGGACAATCTTATGATCATTAAGTAATGTTAATGGGGCACTGACGTACGAAAAATAAAAATATCCATCACTCTATCCTTTCCCCACAATTCACCTTTATCATTCTCAATTTTTCCTCGTGTCCACTCGATGAATAATGCTACTGTACATTTATCAAGACAATAATTTTTCTCCCCGAGTGAAAGAAAAAACTGATAATCTTGAACTTCTCTCGTTTTAATCTCGAGTTGGGCCAACCTGAGTGGTTAATTAGCTTCGAGGGGGCTCTGCGTTTGCCAGGAATTCGCCTGCATCGAGAGTCGCTGATTGTTGCTCGGTTTCAGGGGCTGATTGCTGCGTACTGCATCAGGAAAACGCTCGTGATATCTCTCGAGTCGCAGGTATTTGACTGTCACGAGGTGACCTGCAGGCATTTATTAATAAAAACATGGAAATATTTGTATGAAAATTGTACTGAGAAAAAAACAATTGTTGTCAATTTAATTTAGATATTTTTTTAATTTAAGAGATAATTTTTTACCATCAAACCAGCAGCCATGAAGAGCTCTGTACGCCTTGCCAGCATCGTCATGAGTCAAGCACCTCATGTAGACACAGCCCTCTCGACTGCCACGATCGACTCTAATGTGAAGAATTTTCACACCCTCGCCGCATTTCTCGAGGATTGCGTCCTGAACCTTCACTTCCCAGTCATCTTCGAATTCCCTGCAAGGAAAGGGAATAATTAAATTAAATAACCAATCATTTGACCATCTCAATGAAAATTCCTAGATCACGTGGAAAAATAAAAAATAAAAAAACAAAACTCACACATCAGGATCAAACATGTGACGAATCTTGAGACAAGGAGTTGGGGAGAATGCAGGACTGTTGACAGATCCCTCCATAGTCTCGAATGCCTGTCCCTGCCAAACTTTGTTCTTCTTGCTGCCTCCTGGGGACGCCGCACTTGAAGTATTGAGGTTTGGCAGCCACCTCCACACGTGGAATTCCTCTCCAGCCACTTGTTGAACTTCACGACGAATTCTCGATTCATTCTCGTCGAGGAATTTGACTGCTTTCTCCCAGAGGCCTGTCATTTTTCTACGATCCTTCGGTGGTATCAGGTTGTCCCTCACGTGGTTTATGGCTAGGTAACTCTCCTGAGTGCCTCCTGGACTCCCTGTGACTGCATTCTGGTGATGGATCTCCACCATGCTTATTATCTCACTCACCAGGTGGAAAACCTCTCTCTCAGCTGATTTTTTATATTTTATGTACCACTGAACGAATTTGTGGAGCCCCAGAACTGTTGCTACTCCTGAAATATCGTATTGTTTTTATTGTTATTAATTTCTAGCTGGAGTAATTAAATTCGACTTTTTAATGAATATTTTTTGGTCTCGTTCTGGTTTTTTGGAGTTTTTAGGGATTAGTAAGTGATGAATTATTTCAGATTAATTATTTCAGAGCTAAATTAACATGGAAAGTAGATATTGAGGATGGAAAATAGTTTACTTAGTAAGGATCAGGATGTGGAATAGTATTTCGAAGGTTTGAGGAATCTACCAATCAGGGAATAACGAGTCTGTTGTGAATTTACCGATGGCACAGATCAGGAGGGTCGATAGGACTGTGAAGACTTTCTGTTTTATTAAACATTTCACTGGTAATTCTGGATCCAGCATTACCATGCCTACTTTTCCTTCCAAACGAGTCTGAAACACTTTTTCCTGAGAATAGAAAAAACGCATTACAATTCGAAGAGAAATGTATGAAAAAAAGATTTATCTTTATTATATTAATTTGGCAAATATTTCATTGTCGTGTTACGTCGAGTTATCTAGCTTTATCAAATCGCAAGTGGTCTTATCTGATCGACTTATGTCTCAAATTATTTTGATAATGCGTGAGCATACGAAATAACTACCACTAGGTAAATATTTAACGTCGATTTATTTAAAAACTATTGAGTTTAGGAAAAAATACCAAAAAATCTTTTTTGTTGGAAATTTAATGAGCCATGGAAAAGTCCCCTGAGGTTTTCGTCCGAAATCGACAGTTTTCGAGAGAAATCGATAATTAATAATTCAAAAATTTGCCGAATTGGACTTATCTCAGTTTAAGACTCGACTCCTGAATTTTATCAGCTGCAAAAAATATGTGTTGCCATTGTGGCCTAGATCCAGTCATTCCCCCCGCAATTACGTAATTAGAGAATTTGATTACTGATAAAAAGGCGAACTTACCATTGAATCTAGAATATGCGCAGATATGTCAGTTCCTTCATCGACTTCAATAAGTGAAATTCCCCATTTTGGATTTTCAAAGATTAATAATTGAGCGTTGTGGAGATCACCAGTGATTTCAAATTCTCTCTGCAATGTCAGAAAAGATATTTATCAATTGCATAAAAGGCTAGAGAAAAGATAATTATGGAAAATGAAACTTACGACTTTAGTACTCTTCAACATATTTATCACCTCGGAATCGGTGATGTATGGTGCATCACTGGTGTCCTCACAGACAGCAGCAACAGCTCTTCTCATCAAAATCGGTCTCAGTCGTTTCAATAATTGCATGACAGTTTCCACATCTTCTTTGAATAAGCAGTTAACACCAGGTTTATCGTGATCAGAATGCGAACAAAGTGGAACTTCACTGTCTACAAAATACATGAAATCCAAACACTGCATTAAATAATTTCGACAATATTCGCTATTTCTCAACTCATGCAACATGAATGAAAATAATCTCGAAACACACGAGTAATAATTTTTATTTCAAGGGAAAAGGAAAGAAAAATACTGATAACTGAAAATCGCCAGTACAACATTTATTATTTGCATAATGAAAGAAAAAATACACTTTCAAACGATTCTCAAATTTCAATAAATGATAATTGAAAAGAAAAATTGCTCCATATATAATTTCTTCTACAGAAAATAAGAGTTAGTGGTATACAAAGTCTAGAAATTAATTGTATAACGAAAATCTCATCGTTCAATTTAAACTCGAATTCGTGTATTTTTTTTCTGTAAAATTTCTTGAATTTTCCACAAATCATTTCTATAGATTCCACATAAATAAATATCAAGACCTCGAAAAAAAAAACACTACAAAAAGATGACAGACAATAAGTAACGAACATTGTCCAGACTTTGTATATCGGCACTGATTAAAGATTAGTATTATCATAATTGTATCATAACCCTAGTTATTTCGTCTACCCACACCTCAAAAAAAGACAATTGTATAAATGATCGAACTGTATACATAAACGTGTTAATAACTTAGTCTGAATACCTACCCATAGGCAGAGAAGGTACACTCTCAGTTTTTCCACCTAGACCGAGGTAAACAATAGCCAAAACACCGAAGAAAAGGGCCAATCCTATGACTAATACCATCGACACCACGTTCTGATTATTTCTGCCCTCTTCCTGTTTTGTTGCCGGCGCTTTGTACGCTCTGGTCACAACGTCCCGAGATCTGTCGTTCGACGAGGAAACATATCTGACATAACAACAAATTACTCCATGAATAATCAATTATTAACGACCAATAATTCCAGACTAACGTGACACCTCACCTGGAGTTTGTTGCATTGTAAGATGATCGCAGAGACGAGAAATGCCCATTGGTATCGCTCTCTTTATTTTCGGGACGTAAATGAGTTGTATGACGTAGCATAGAGCCTAAAACAAATAATTTATCATTCAAATTCATTCATTATTTCATTACATAAGAGTTGAAGATTTCTTACTCTTAAAATTAGATCGAGATGGTGCACTGCTGCCGGTCTGAGTGCTCAATCTCCTGGTGAATTCAGA